GTAATCGATTTATGAAATATATGAAACTGTAAAGTCCAGATTGCAGATTTGTCATTTCTTGCGCTCGTTCTTCCTTATCTTGATGAGTATTCGATGCAACTATTAAAACCTTTATTTCTGCGTTTTTTATTTGAGATTTATAACATTTCGAGAACAAATTCTATAAGTTGGAATATTCTTATTCGGTTGAGTACGCAAATTTTGGCAAAATTAATGGGATTTGATCAAATTTGAGAAAGACTAGTAATAATATTAATAATATTATTACTAATATTATTATAAATTTTTCTCGTGTTAATTTTAAAGAAAGATATACGAAATGTTGAACACTATTTTTTTAATACAAATCTTTCTCAAATCCGATCAAATCCAATCCATTCTGCTCGACACGTGTTTCGTAACGCAAATTTTTACATAATTTTCTTACAGAATTCAGTATAAATATATCGTTTTTTATATGAACACGAGAAAAATCTATAACCATAATATTAATAATATTAAATTGAATATCTAAAACGTCGCTAGTGATATTCAAAATAGGAACGATATATTAAATTCGACTGAAACTAGCCAAGAGAAACTTTTTATTTTATTTTCACATTGTGAAAATAAAATAAAAAGATTTTTTTTTGCTAGTTTCAGTCGAATTTAATCACAATGTGGAAATAAAATAATAAGTTATTCTTGGCTAGTTAGTCCACAATGTGAAAATAAAATAAAAAGTTTTTTTTGGCTAGTTTGGGTCGAATTTAATATATCGTTTTAATTATTAATAATATTGTTATAAATTTTTCACGTGTTCATTTAACAAAACTGTACTGACTCTAAATGCTGTAAAAATATTATGCAAAAAAAGAGCGTTGCGTAACACGTATCGAAGAAAATGTTTGGATTTGATTGAATTTGAGATATATGTATTAAAAAAAAGGCTCTCAACACTTTATATATCTTTTTATAGAATAATACGATGAGGGATATTTATAATAATTTTAATATATTAGTAATAATATTATTAATTTCTCTCAAATTTGGTAAAATCCAATTTATTTTGTCCAAGTTTGCGTAACTTATAAATTATAGAAATCAATTTGACGATCCGACGTCGATTCGACTATCATTTCTCGCTGGGAAATGCATAGACGTTTTTGGAGAAAATTATGTAATTTGTAACTAACAGCTATTAAATTTCTTTTTGTGATTCTTATAAGAATCACAAAATATTATAATATTTTGTCTGTTAGCTGAGAAGATTAAAAGATATTACTCTATATAATATATATTTCTATATTATATATATTTTGTAGCTTAAAGTTCGCGCTTTCTTAATAATGATGTAGTATTATAAATTATAAAATCAAAGGTGAGAAATTATGGAACATTTTTCTTCTAAAAAATATCAAAAAATATTAGTGTTTCTTAAATTCATAGCATCTTTTTAAACTTAAAAATATAAAAGATGTTACGTCGGAATTATACACTGTAATAAACTATATAGTATATAAAGAAGACTTTCTCGAACTATTAATTATCTGATGAATAGGAAACTTTGTAATTTATATTCTATTCTATTATATATATATATATATATATATATATATATATATATTTAGTTTATATTTATATTATTTATCACAATTTGTGAGTAAAAAATCAAACAGTTTAGAATTATATTTTTCCGCGAAGTTTAAGAAGAAAAATTATGAAATTAAATTTATTTAATCTACATTGTTCATCATTAAATGGACATGATATACTTATACTGAATCATGTTAGGAAATTGTGCAAAACTATGCGTTGCATAATACGTATCGAAGAAAATGAATTCGATTTGATTGAAATTGAGAAATGTGTATTAAAAAAAACTTTCAAAATTTCATGTATTTTTCTTTAGATAAATACGAGAAAAATTTAAAGTAAAATATTAGTAATAAAATATTGATATAATATTATTATTGATCTCTCTCAAATTTGATTAAATCTAATCAGTTTCTTTTGATATGTTATTTACTTTTGTCACATATATTCTGACACAGATATTTGGAAGAATTCGAGATTGATACGAATATTTAGACCGGCCACAATAACATTTTTTCCATACGTCGCCGATGCCATACGTCATCCGTATTTCTCGGAAAAGACGATTCTGCACCGTGCAAAAATTTTAAATATAATCAACTGTTATTCATTCATGTGTATAAAAATATTTTATCTTCTTAGAAATAATATAGCGCTGAATGATAGAAAGTTGATAATTAAATTTGAGTAGCTCTTACTAACCCATTTATTAGAATCAATATATGAAAAATGTTTTCGTAACGCGAGGAAGGTTTTGTTGTCTTTGTTTTGTATGTGTAAGAAGTGCGGAATGTATCGCAGTTATATGTGACAAAAATGTATGGTCGGTTAAATATTACAAAACACATGTGTACAAAGTAAGTACTTAAACCAACATACTTACTTTCTCGTGATATGCGCTTGTTTGATTTTTTATTAATTAATAGATAAACACGTTGAACTTTTTCTGCAACATCGCACGTATGGCTTTACATATTTTTAACTATTATAAATCTTTAAAATGTAGGCACGATAAATAAAGGCCACTGGAAATAAGAATTTGAAACGTTCGTTGTCGCGCACAAGACAATGTTTACATTTCTTATATACTTGCGTGTCTCAATCGTGACTGATTTCGTTTTGAAACATGTAATGAAATATAAACCTAAAAGCATGATATATCCCGAGACCCGACGCATGTCGATCGTATCCGAATTAAAGATCGGGTCTCCTCGAGAAATTTCGGTATCTCGCGAAGCTTCGTGCGCGACCAGAGAAATCGCGTCAAAATCCGAGCCCTAGACTCATGACTTCAAATGTTTCCTTATATTTATTTTATTTTTAACACAAAAATATTTGGAAGTACTTAGATTTAAAAAAAAATGTGACAGTTAAAAATAGATTTTCGAATGGACATTATCGTGAAATCGAATTGTTCTTGGGCCGTTTGTACGGTCGTTTGAAAAGTTAATTTTTTAAACTCAATTATTGTTTAATTATTAATATCACTTTTAAGAAACGCGTATGCACAGCGCACGCTACTCGATGCAAACTACGACAAACGTTTTATTTTTTAATAATGTAAAATATATTTGACTTAATATAAAAATTTTAATAATTAATTGTCTTATAAAATATTAATAAAATAAATTTTTGTTAATACCTAATAATAATTCCATGAATTAAAATTATATCGCGACATAATAATAATTCCAATATTTTATTTATGACAACTCATTGCAACTCATATTCAAATGTTGGCAATATAAAAATAAAAAAAGCATTGCAATATTAAGCATTATCAAAATGAGATGTGTTCGGATAACGAAATGACACAAAAGAATCAACAACCAAAAAAATATATAAATTGGTTTACCGTATGTGAAGGAGCTTTTATCACACGTTGAAATGCGCTCAAATCAACTGTTTGTAAATTCGCTCCATACAAATGCATTAATAAATTAAACAGATTTATTAAACTTCATAAAGACATAATACATTCCACATTGAACAGAATTGTGAATTTTTATTTTGTAATCAAAAAATATGAAACTATATAGATTGATAAATTTTTCTCCTGTACAAATTAATGTATTAATATTAGCAAAGAGCGAAGCGTTCTAATTTCAGGTAAAATCAGTTTGTATAGTCATTAAATAGATTCATAATTTATCTAAACTCATATTTTATCGATACTAGACAACACAAGCGCGCGCTCCGCGCGACAATGATTTTATGTGCTTTGATTTGATATATATTATTTTTAGCAACTGTCAAACTATTAACCTTCGCAATAACAGCTGTTTGATATGAATATAACACACAATGAGAATCGAAACAACCAATCAGCAACGCGGAAAAGCGGCAACAATACATGCGAAAATCGACTTAACATGCATTTTTTACAAAAATGAAAAAAAGAAAGAAACAAAAGACTTCTCAAAGCATCTGTCGGAGTTCGGTCAACTGTTTAAGATTCTCTTAAGTATCTTACAAGTAGTTTCGAATTTGTTTCGAAATTTCTATAATTATTTCGAAAAATGAACAGTATTTTCAAGTAAACTAGAATCCGTAAAGGATCATCTTCAGCGGATTGAACTATGAAATGTTTATGGTAATTAAAAATAAGGAATTTAAAAGAAATTAGCGCCTGACTATTATTAGTCCTTTTATGAGTTGGTATTTGAAGCTTATTGATTAATTAAATGAATTATTAATACAGCATTAATAGCCAGATGCGAATAATACTACGTCAGATTTTAGGAAAAAGTATGTTTCCTTTAAACTAATTATTTGCGCACTAAACATAAATTTTTTTGATACAATACTAGAAAATGAAATAAAAACAAGATTTTTATTGAACTCTTTTCGTTACTCATAAATCGATGTTATATATAAATACTTTCTACGAAATTAATCCATCTTGAAATTGACACACACTATCATCTACGTCAAATTCTTACTTGGCTATTAAAATTTATACATATGATTCACATTAAGAGTTTTATTAAAGACTCAGTTGTTAGTAATTTATAAAAAAAGTAAGTGGCAGTAATATGCCATTAATTACAATGTTAATAAATTGAGAATATTTTAATAAAACTAAATTTTTCTTATTAGATTGGTAAGTATATATAATGTATTATTTATCTTTAACTAATTACAAATAGAATATTACATACATTACAAATAGAATATTACACTTCTTTTACACATATATGCAACGCATGTTATTTCGTGTTTGTTTATTTCTGTATTAAAAATCTATTTTTTGATATTTTAATGAGTTATAACTTATTAAAATATCAAAAAACGATATTTAAATGCAGAGGATAGTTAAAGAATTTAAAGATTAATTAACTGAATGTTGCTTCAAGATGTTATAATCATAATCAATTGTATACTATATTGTGAAGATATTTAATTAATATTTTGTACGCTTCATGTAATTCTTTTTAACAAAATTTATTATAACATCTTGAAGCAACATTCAGTAAATTAAACTTTAAATTCTTTAACTATCCTCTTCATTTAAATATCGTTTTCTTACAGCAGCGTCATCCGGAAACAAATTAGCCAACATTTCATTTGGTTTGTAATGCGTGTTTTTAAATTTACAAAAATAGCGACCTATTTCATCATTAGCGATCCATCTCGGCTTGGTTAAAACTATGTAATCTGAAATAAAAATACATTTAAAAATAAATATGAGATAATTAACAATATAATAAAATAATATAATTGTCATAAAAATAAATATAATGATAACTAAAATAAATAAAAGCAATAAAAAATATAATATTATAAAATGTATAGAAAACAGTTTATAAATTAAACAAAATTAAAAGAACTTATAATTTAAAATATAAATAATATTGTGTAAAAACAAGACCTGCAAATTAATAAATACAATTTTAAATAAAGATCTATCTATCCATACCTTCTTGCACGTAACACATTTTATTATGTTCGCCAAGAACCACGTAAATTATGAGACCTCTATTCAAACTATGCGATTCATTATGATTTAACCGCAATACACAATTTAAATCATCATAGCCTTTAGAGATTAGATGTCCATCCTCACATCGGTGCCATGCAAGTATAACGCCAGTGCATTTATTCCCATCTAATGCACGATGTTCTATGATCATTCCTACTGCATATTCTGCGTCTTTTAGTCCTGTATTTCTGCATATTGGTTTAGCAAAATGCAGTTTAAACTGTAAAATATAAAATCAAGTTTTTATTGATTTGTTCTTGTTTTCCTTTCCAATATGACTCTAATAACAAGATATTTTACAGCTGTTTAAATTATAATTTGTATAATTATAATTGGACATCGTAAGTATAATCGAAAAAAAGCTTCATAAAGATTATTTTTATTATTATGTTACTTTATATAGAATATATATGGCATATATGTATTAAAATATCTTACGTCTTACCATGCGAATTGCATAAGCATTTGACTCCAACTTGAATATTGTATTAGCCAAACCAACATTTTTTTGAAATTGATTTTTTAAGTAGTTCCATACCTGATAAAAAGAATAAACATGAACAAAAACTAATTTGACTATACATATACATATACATATATATATATATATATATATATATATATATATATAAAGCGTATTTTATAAACTTATGTCGAATTACCAGTATATTTATTAGTGTTAAAATTAATAGAAATTAAATATTAGTAATTGACCAACCTTATTAACATCCATCTTATAGAATTCATGAAAGTCTGACAATAATGGTGTGGGCCATGATGAATCATCCTGCCGTTCAACTAGCAAATATCGCACATTTTCTAATCCGTCATTAGTACTGTAAACAATATAAAATTATAATATAGTATACGTGCGTATGTATATAAGAGTAAGAATTCCGAATAATTCAAATAATTTTACGTATAATATTATACATACTATTTTGGTTTCCAAAATATATAATAAGGGCAATTATCTATTATATTGCAACGTAAACCAAGTCTTCTGGCCACGCTTTGATATATTATTAATATGATTAAGCCATCGCCCGATTTTTTTCTTAAGACCTATACCAGAAATTACAACAAAAAAATTATTTACAGCAAAAGTATTTTGAATATATATTAACAGTTATGATACAACACATATGATCATGTTCATGATATAAAGAGATCGTAATTATAATATATTATCATCTATAATAACTTACATTATCTATACACATGTCTTCGGAAGTAAATCCCCCATTACTTTGAAAGTTTAATTTGCCAAATATGTATTCTTGGAATGTATCCATAATCTGTGTTCCTTCTTTTTCGTTCCAATGATTTTCGTCGATATTATTATTTTCCCAGTAAATACGAGTTTCAGCAGATATCGAAAATATTGGATGATTGGGATGCTTCTCTTTGAGACAATTCAGTATCTCTTGTACGATATTATCCAGCGATTCTTTTATGTGTAAATAATATAAATTTTTCTGAAGTTGAATAGATTGTGCTATAATAGTTACCGCCTGTTCCAAAAGCTTATAATTATCCGGCAATAATTCATATATATCCCACTCCTTTTTCAACCAACATTGCTTCATATAGTAAAAGAATTTTTCATTAATATATCTTTCAGTTAAATCACAACCATTTGTCCTGTAAAATTTAGATAAAAATTGTTTAATAACATTAGTTTATAAAATTAATAGTAATATACATATATACATAAGCTTCATACCGTGGAGATTGATTTAACAAACTTTCAATTTCATTATTATAAAAATAATATCTAATGTGGTTTTCAGGTTTATTAATAATCTCATCAAGCTCTTTTGTTAAATATTCAGGTAAATAAAGAACGTCTTGAACTTGTGTATAACTATCAATATTATAATAATTTTTAGAATATTGCATACGAATGATTTGAGACACATAATCTCGTAATTGTAATACACAAATTATGCCTTTTTCTATAAAGTCCAATTTTCTTTCATTATTTATTTCTTCGTTTTCTACTGATTCCATACTGATCTCATACTGTTTCTCGTAGAGTTTTTTCGCTTCAGGCCATCTGAAAATCAAATGAAAAATAACTTAATAATTCTTTGACAATTTTGCTAAACAGTGCTATTACATAAGTAATAAATTTTCAATGGAATAAAGCATTATATTTAATGTAATAATCAATGTGTAAGTCATTTTAATTTATTGCAGAATAAAATATAAAATTTTTAACTATAAATCATATATTGAATTTACATCAGAATATACATTAATAATACAATATAGACGAAAATACATAGTTACATCGTTATCGTATATATTATGCAACTGTTAGAATTAATTTTAACTATCACATTTTGTATATGTGACTAAAATAGTTTTGTTTAATAAATTAATTTATAATAAAATAAAATAATTAATAATATAAATTAAAAAAAAACATTTAAAAAAATTATATTAATTAAATAAAAATTAAAATTTACTAATAATTTATAATATATTATTTTTTTTATAACATAAAAATAGATAAAAAAAAACTAATAAATTCGAAAGTGTGGAATAAACTTTGATAATATGTCATGTTCAAATTTCAGACATATAAGACATTTTTATAAAGTTTTTTTGACTGCTTGAAAATGACTTATGATATGATATTTAAAAGGCACATTAGAAATATTTTAAAGAAATCTTATGTATGTCCCAATTTTGAACTTGTTTTGATTTTAGTGTTACCTAGAAAGAGTGCAAGCAGTTTGATTTATGCAAATTTTAACAATAATCAACTTTTTTTATTTTAATTATTTAAAATAAAAGATTTTACTCAATTTTGTTTTTTCAATTATTCAAAGAGAATTGAATAATTGACAAATTGAGTAATCGAAAGAATATTTTAAAGATAATTTTGCACTTTTCTGCGTCTTATCTGTCATTATTTTATTTTCAAATCATTTTTATCCATTATTATTAGTGATTATCATGATTTCAGATGTTATTTCTTTTTGTTTAATTACGTCATATATTTTGTACTTTTTATTTATTTTATTTAAGTATAATATATCGTTTTTGCATAAATACTAGATTATGTGATTATTATAAAATATTTGCGCACAAAATATTACCTGCGCAGAATTATTCTTTCCCAAGACTCGAAAGCTGGATAAAATTTCTTCCTCCATAATCGGACGCCACAAATATCGTAAATGCTGATATCAACGCGGTCGAGAATGTTCTCTATTACAAGGTCTGGTAAACGTTTTAACCAATTTTCCGATTTTGAATCCATTGCGAAAGAAAAACTAAAAAAACAAAAGAAATAATATAAATTAGAATAATCTAAACAATAAGGTAATCTCAACTAATTATTCGCATAATTAATTTTCAGCTATAAAAGCATACCTTTCTAATGTAATACGGTTCTTATATGCTGCGTGGATTGAAGACACACAAGCGCGTGTAATTTATTAGTACAGAGAAAGTTACCGAATAACGAAATGAAAATATATATTGTTACAGATTTTAAAATAAAAACATTTTATTATAATCCAGCCAATAATAAACAAGTTTGTCCTTTTCGCTGTACACAATAATATCAATATTGTATATCAGTATATTAGCAATCAAGTGCGGAAGATCGTAAATCGGCTGAAAGTGCGGAAGTTTGGCGCACGAGGCGAAGCCGAGTGTTATTTTATTTTTATTATGAATTAATTTAATAAACTAAACTATTTTAGACACATATACAAAATGTGATAGTTAAAATTAATTCTAACAGTTGCATAATATATACAATAACGATGTAACTATGTATTTTCATTTATATTGTATTATTAATGTATATTTTGATGTAAATACACACGATCGGCCGATTTATGACCCGCACATGTTGGCTACGATATTTTGTGTGACCGGTGTGTGGAAAGAGAACCCTTTCTAAAATCCCATCATGTACGTAAAGGGCGACTTTTCGCACGCCGTTTTGCACAAAATTCTATTAAATTTTACTTAAAATTAAGTTAAAAATGTAGTTTTGTTAATAATTTGTTTTTACAAGATTTACAAAAAAGCTTATATTTTCAATCGTTTATAACTCGAAACTTATTAGTGTTTGGATATTTTCGCTGAAAGTATATCGTGTCCTAATCACCTCAGAAATCTCTCATTAACGTGTGAAACGCGAGTCACCGGACAACCTGTATATCACTAATTGTAAGACACAACGTGTTTCATAATTTGGGTTCACGAATTATATAGCGTTATTATCTTAAAGAAAAATTTAAAAAAAATGAAAAGTAGTGAACTATTGTTTCTAAATGTTCAACAATGAAAAAATTATTAAATAAAAGTAATTCCGCCAACTGAGTTTTTTTACATAAAGAGATATCCTCAAGATGTGCTTCGAATAATATATACAGGGTAATGCATAAACAACCGTTTGTTCTTAAAATATCATATTTCTGACTCGATTCTGAAACGATTCTTTTTCATTTGCCAAAATTTAATCCAAAGCTTAATTTTCAAGATATTAAACAAAATAGGTATATGTATAGCGTGCCGTAATTCGCTATAAATAATTATTAGTTATATAGTTAGTAATTTTGTCTTATTTTTGTTTAACATTTATCTATTTATCACGTTTATTAATTCTAATTTGAATTAATTATCAATGCTTACTCCATCACAATCGATGATGACAATTGTGGTTCTGAAACGTCTACTCGAGAATTGTAATAAAAAATGTTCGATTTTTACCTTCTAAATTCTTATGATAACACAATGTATGCAAATCCGCCTCCAAATTCTGTAAGCTTTGTTCTGTACTCTTTACTTGCAATCGAAGTAATTTTATCTGCAAAACACGAAAAATATTAATTATAAAACTGTTCAGTTTCCAGCAGATAATTATGTAGTACAAAAAATCTTGTCAACGTAACAAGGCTAAAAATATAATAAGTACTAAAATAATATCACTGTTAATCAAAAATTGAAAAAAACCTGTTATTCATTGTAAGCTTAATCGATACTGGGACATTTGTCGTTAGCGATATTAATAATACCATTAAGTTTATCATATATATCTTTTGCTATATTGTTTAATCTATTTATGAAAAATATAAAATTGTAAAGTCCAAATTGCAGATTTGTCATTTCTTGCGCTCGTTTTTCCTTATCTTGATGAGTATTTGATGCAACTATTAAAATTTTTATTTCTGCGTTTTTTATTTGAGATTTATGACATCTCGAGAAAAAATTTTATAAGTTGGAGAATTCTTATTCGGTTGAGTACGCAAATTTCGGCAAAATTAGTGGGATTTGACCAAATTTGAGAGAGACTAATAATAATATTAATAATATAATTACTAATATTATTATAGATTTTTCTCGTGTTAATTTAAGAAAAAGATATACGAAATGTTGAACACTATTTATTTAATACAAATCTCTCTCAAATCCGATCAAATCCAATTCATTCTGCTTGACACGTGTTACGAAACGCAAATTTTTGCATAATTTTCTGACAGATCTCAGTATGAATATATCGTTTTTTATATGAACACGAGGGAAATCTATATAACCATAATATTAATAATATTAAATTGAATACCTAAATACGTTGCTAGTAATATTCAAAATAGGAACGATATATTAAATTCGACTGAAACTAGCCAAGAAAAACTTTTTATTTTATTTCCACATTGTGGAAATAATATAAAATTTTTTTTTTGGCTAGTTTGGGTCGAATTTAATTTATCGTTCCTATTATTAATAATATTGTTATGGCTTTTCCACGTGTTCATTTAACAAAACTATACACACTCTAAATGCTGTAAAAATAGTATGCAAAAAAAGTGCGTTGCGTAACACGTATCGAAGAAAGTGGTTGGATTTTATTGAATTTGAGAGATATGTATTAAAGGCTCTCAACATTTCATATATTTTTTTATAGAATACTACAATGAGGGAAATCTATATAATAATTTTTATATATTAATAATAATATTATTAATCTCTCTCATATTTGGTAAAATCCAATCTATTTTGCCCAAATTTGCGTAACTTATAAATTATAGAAATCAATTTGACGACCCGACGTCGATTCGACTATCATTTCTCGTTGGGAAATGCATAGATGTTTTTGGAGAGAATTATGTAATTTGTAACTAACAGCTATTAAATTTCTTTTTGTGATTCTTATAAGAATCACAAAATATTATAATATTTTGTCTGTTAGCTGAGAAGATTAAAAGGTATTATTCTATATAATATTATATATATATTTCGTAGCTTAAAGTTCGCGGTCTCTTAATAATGATGTAGTACTATGAATTAAGAAATCAAAGGTGAGAAATTATCGAACATTTTTTTTTCTAAAAAATTTCGCGAAGAATATTAGTGTTTCTTAAATTCATAGCATCTTATTAAACTTAAAAATATAAAAGATGTTACGTCGGAATCATACACTGTAATAAATTATATAGTACATATAAGAATATTTTTCGAACTATTAATTATTTGATGAATAGAAAACTTTATAATTTATATTCTATTATATATATATATATATATATATATTATATATTTAATTTATATATATATTACTTAACACAATTTGTGAATGAAAAATCAAACAGTTTGAATTATATTTTTCTGCGAAGTTTAAGAAGAAAAATTATGAAATTAAATTTATTTAATCTACATTGTTCATCATTAAATGGGCATGATATACTTATACTGAATCATGTTAGGAAATTGTGGAAAACTATGCGTTGCATAATACGTATCGAAGAAAATGGATTCGATTTGATCGAAATTGAGAGATGTGTATTAAAAAAAGCTTTCAAAATTTCATGTATTTTTCTTTATATAAATACGAGAAAAATTTAAAGTAAAATATTAGTAATAAAATATTGATATAATATTATTATTGATCCCTCTCAAATTTGATTAAATCTAATTAGTTTCTTTCGATATGTTAATTACTTTTGTCACATATATTCTGACACAGATAGTTGGAAGAATTCGAGATTGATACGAATATTTAGACCGGCCACAATAACATTTTTTCCATACGTCGCCGATGCCATACGTCGTCCGTATTTCTCGGACAAGACGATTCTGCACCGTGCAAAAATTTTAAATATAATCAACTATTATTCATTCATGTGTATAAAAATATTTTATCTTCTTAGAAATAATATAGCGCTGATTGGTAAAAAGTTGATAATTAAATTTGAGTAGCTCTTACTGACCCCCATTTATTAGGATCAATATATGAAAAATGTTTTCGTAACGCGAGGAAGGTTTTGTCGTCTTTGTTTTGTATGTGTGAGAAGTACGGAATGTATCGCAATTATATGTGACAAAAATATATGGTCGGTTAAATATTACAAAACACATGTGTACAAAGTAAGTACTTAAACCAACGTACTTACTTTCTCGTGATATGCGCTTAAATTGTTTGATTTTTTATTAATTAATAGATAAACGCGTTGAACTTTTTCTGCAACATCGCACGTATGGCTTTACATATTTTTAACTATTATAAATCTTTAAAATGTAGACACGATAAATAAAGGCCACTGGAAATAAGAATTTGAAATGTTCGTTGTCGCGCACAAGACAATGTTTACATTTCTTATATACTTGCGTGTCTCAATCGTGACTGATTTCGTTTTGAAACATATAATGAAATATAAACCCAAAAGCATGATTTATCCCGAGACCCGACGCATGTCGATCGTATCCGAATTAACGATCGGGTCTCCTCGAGAAATTTCGGTATCTCGCGAAGCTTCGTGCGCGACCAGAGAAATCGCTTAAAAATCCGAGCCTTAGACTCATGACTTTAAATGTTTCCTTAAATTTATTTTAATCTTAACACAAAAATATTTGGAAGTACTTAGATTTTAGAAAAAAATGTGACAGTTAAAAATTGATTTTCGAATGGACATTATCGTGAAATCGAATTGTTCTTGGGCCGTTTGTACGGTCGTTTAAAAAGTTAATTTTTTAAAATAAAGCGACTCTAATTTTTTATGTAAATTTCTCGTAATACTCGGTAAAAATTCTAAGAATAGAATAGCTACAAAGTGAATTGTTCGCGAGATATTTCGTTTAATTTATTTACATACTTTAATTATACCGGGTGATTCAAAACAACCGTTTGTCCTTACAACGTTTCGTATGCCTAATTGATTTCTAAGACACTTTTTCTTTTGTCCGCACCAATAATTGTCCGCCAAAATTTTATTCAAAGCTTAATTTTCAAATTATTGAAAGAAATAGCAAATTACGGCACGTGTACGGGCGGTAGACAGGAGCGGCGCAACCACTATCCGACGCGGGTAATAACATGAGGCGCCCACTGCGATCAGCTGTTTGCTTTGCGCAATGTGTGTGTGTGTGCGTCACGCATGCACGCACGCACCCACGCACACACACACATACTTTCTCACTTTTTCACACACACTCATTAACTTATTTTTACCTTGTAGAGATATTCGATGTCATCTATTGATGAATACCTGTTGCATAATCGTGGATAGCAATAAGACGTATTCCGACACTAAATAATAAACGAATTTTTTTCTCTTGTAAATTATATGGACACTTTAATTGACGCACTTGATTTAATGTAAACAATTTATGAGACGATTAACACGATTAATAACACTCAATTACTATTTATTTATTAATATTACTTTTAAGAAACGCGTATGCACAGCAAACGTTACTCGATGTGGACGACTATATGGCACGCCGTTTCACTTTTTAATAACAAAAAATATTCCATTTAATATAAAAGTTTCAATAATTAATTGTTTTATAAAATATTTATGAAATACATTTAAGTTAATACATAACAATAATTCCATGGGTATAATTTTTATTATGTCAGGACGTAATAATAATTCAAGAATTAAAATTATGTCGTGTTATGATAAAAATTCAAGGAATTGAAATTATGTCGAGACATAATATTAATTGAAAATTATTTTAATACCCGACAAAATTCGATGAATAAAAATTTTATCTAGGTATAAAAATAATTCCAAATTTTTATTATGTGTTGACGTAATTTTAATTCATCGAATTTTTATTATGTGACATAATAATAATATTGTATAAAATATACATATACTTTTATTAAATATATTATTATTATTATTATATATTATATATATTAAATAATAAAAGTTATAGTTAATTTAAAAATTACATTAAATTTTCAGTTTTTATAAATAACAAGCAAGATTTTAATAAGAGTCGAAGAAGACAGATACTTCTTTTTATATTACCGTAAAAGAAGAAGAGAATTTGACAAATCTAAGGTCATATATTTATTTTTCCGTTTCATAACTCTATACCAAAGACAAAATATATGATCAAACGGCTGAAATGCATTTTTGCTTTCTTACAATACCTACATTTTTTAAAATTGCAGGAAATTTGGAGACATCCGATACAAAAGAAATTGCCTGAGAGACCTTTCAGCATCAAAGGAATGTTATTGTTTCGGAAGAAAAGTTCCTAAGGGAAATTTATTTTCAAATACATTTATGTTACATGTATATACAAAGTATTCTAAAATTTCAAACGAAACTTCTCATATTGTAATATATTTGAATAGGCATAAAAGGACATAAAGAAAGAAAAATGCTATTTTCTTTTTTTTTAACAATTCTTGCTTCATTTTCATATAAATTTTTTTAAATAATGCCGATTGCTATAAAATATGTACAGGCAAAATTATAAAAACATTTATTAATGCTGCCTCGCATAGCAACAATAAAAGATCCTGCACTAAACCACGTGAAATTGGGCCCGGCGAAAATAGCTGAATTTGAAATATGTTGTATCTTTTAAATCACTAAACACATATTTCCTCAGATAAAATGTCAAAACGTGGACAGTTTCGTTGTTTCAACTCTTCAAAAGCCTGAGATCAGACCAGTAAAGATGTCACTTTCAGATCAATGCGGTTATTATTATAAGGGAACGATATAAATTTTTAGTGAACAAAATAGTTAAAGAATAATTTGGTTATTACAGTATATTGTTTAAACAATTGAAAATGTCTTTGTTTACAAGAACTAATTATAGCTGATTTAAATTCCGTGGGAAAAATTATAATGCATAATGTTTTCCGATATAACGCATTATTTGTTTTAAAATAAGCAGTAAACAAATGGTTAATAATGCAATCTATTCGATTAACTTTAGTTATGAAGAAATAAGTAATGTTAAACAGAAACAATGATATTGAATATTTTTATTACACCTGCGATTAGCCTATGTTATAGTTACCGGAGTTAACAATATTTAATATTGTACTTTCATATTATTCTTCAACTATTTTGTCCACTAAAAATTCATATCGTTCTCTTATAATGGTTCAGTGCGGAGTTCTTTATCGTTTGTCTAGCATTACTGTCCATAGATTATAATAGAATATCTTTTTATTTTAGAATATAAGATCGTATATTATACTTTGCTAGTTTGTAATCCTCTTTTTTTCTGTTTTAAAGGTGCAGATGTAGAGTAAATTTTTTAAATATAGATCAATAAGATAATATAAATTACCATTTTTTTTTAAATTAACTGCTAACTAACAAAGTCAAACTAGTCACATATGATATTTAATAATAAATAGCGGTCATTTTATGATTTCGTTCGCATTCGATGTAAATTTTCGCTAAGTTTGCAAGCTTTTAATACAAAAAATTATTATTTTATTGTGTTGTTTAATAACGTTACATATTATAATTTAAGTACCTGTTAGTTCGTATTAAAAATTGTTCTAATTAAGATTATTGTCCGTCAATTGCACTCTTATTAATATTAAACCAAGTGATCTATATTTTTTAATACGTATTTCCTTACATTTGAAAAATAGTATATTAACTAACAAGTACGGGGGATCATAAATCGGTCGAGAGTGCGGCACGAGGCGAAGCCGAGGGTGACAATCTGCACGATATAATAAATTAATAAATTAGAATAAAAAACACGTGGGGAGTTGTGTGGTATTAAATGTTGCTTATTAAAAATAATTTAAAAAACAACTATTTTAATTCTGATTAAATTATAGTATAATAAGGTCTCATAACTATAAATTCGAGAACATTCCGATTTTTTATTTTATATGTATTTCTTAATGCGTTTGCATTATTTTAAATGTGAATTTACTAAAATAAAGATTATTCTTATTTATCTCAGACACACTTTATATTAAAAATTAGAAATTTTACATATGTATTTTATTAATTTAAATATTTTATTTTATCATTTTATTAATTAATTTTTAAATTGTACTATTATATAGAATGTAAAAATTAAATATATAATTAAATATAATTTATATATATATAAATTTATATATATGAATTATATAATTTATATATATAAAAATTAAATATAATTTATTTTATTTAACTAATATAAGGCTGTACCGTAAATATATAATTTTCTCTTATTCTTTCTTATTATTTTAGTGTAAAATTTAATTATTTTTAGTGTAAAATTTAATTACAATTTAAAATTTTAAATTATATATTTCATATTTTCTATTCTACAACAAAAAGATTTATATTTCAACTAATATTTTAAATATTATGCATTTTATATAATTTATTCTTCTGAAAATTTATTAGATATAATAACACTGTTATTAGTGTAATTTTTAAAAGAGTAATAAAATATATTTTGTCTAACAGATGGCCTTCTGCGAAGAGACTTTATGATAAACAACTTAATGAAAATAAATGTAAGGAAAAAAAACAGAAAGAATTTGCAAAACCTACACAGAAGAATGAAAAAAACTTATATAAAGAATTTATAAAAACAGGCATAAATGCTGCGAGACAATTATACAATTTTAAATCTAAAACACTTCGACAATATTATATCGACAAGAATTCAATCGATAATATATATGATCAAATTTGATTGCATATTTAATTTCAATTTAAATCCCATTGATAATATAATTAATGAAAATTTTTTAACGTATTATTTTATTATTAATGAGATTAAAAACTTGCTTATACAATCTCCACAGTAAGATATATATCATAGCTCCATTAATTTTATAGATTATAATATAATTGTTGCACAGTTATTATATAATTGTTGCATAAACATTTGTTACAGAAATCTTGATTGGAATCTAAGCGAACAATATTGGATTATAAAAATGCTTCATTATATTAGGCATCTTTTGGTGAAGAAGAAGTACAGTAAATTTATAGAAAAATCTAACAATAAACAACTTTTAGAACAAATTGCTACTTTTTTGGCACAATGGTTACGACCTGAAAAGCATGTATCTTACTGTAAGATATTTTTATAATATTTGTCTGGATGTGATGCCCAGAGGCGCAACGTGGAAGACGGTGAAAAGGTGAAAACAGGATTGTTCCAATGTTCGATTAATCATGCAATAATAATAGGTTTATTATATAATGTGTAAATTATTAGATATAAATCACAGTTTATCCGCGACGCGTGTATATATATATATATATATATATATATATATTATAACCGTATCGCGCGGAATTCGCAGCGAATATCCATTCGTCGCGGAAGGAGAAAAGTCTCCTGCGGAATATCGGTTACCTTCGGCGCGATCTCTCCGTTCGATCACAAAAAAAATTTGCAACAAACAAAAAAAAATAA